CGGGAGCACAGCCTCCACCTCAGGGGACACCCAGCCCAGCAGCAGGGACACCGGGAGCACAGCCTCCACCTCAGGGGACACCCAGCCCATCAGCAGGGACACCGGGAGCACACCTCTACCTCAGGGGACACCCAGTCCTGCAGCAGGGACACCGGGAGCATGGCCTCCATCTCGGGGGACACCCAGTCCTGCAGCAGGGACACCGGGAGCATGCTTCCATCCCGGCAGACGCGCAGCCCTGCAGCAGGGACACTGGGAGCATGGCCTCCACCTCAGGGGACACCCAGCCCTGCAGCAGGGACACCGGGAGCATGCCTCCACCCCAGGGGACACCTAGCCCTGCAGCAGGGACACCGGGAGCATGCCTCCACCCCGGGGGACGCCCAGTCCTGCAGCAGGGACACTAGGAGCATGGCCTCCACCTCAGGGAACGCCCAGTCCTGCAGCAGGGACACTGGGAGCACGCCTCCATCCCAGGGGACGCCCAACCCTGCAGCAGGGACACTGGGAGCACGCCTCCATCCCAGGGGACGCCCAACCCTGCAGCAGGGACACTGGGAGCACGCCTCCATCCCAGGGGACGCCCAACCCTGCAGCAGGGACACTGGGAGCACGCCTCCATCCCAGGGGACGCCCAACCCTGCAGGGGCAGCTGTTTCTGAACGGCAGCGACAAAGGCAAGGACTCCTGGAGCAGCACTAATTATACCCAGTACCGCTGGCCCAGAGCGATTTGATGCTTAAAGGAGACACACCCTTACATGCGTGTTCAAGGATCACAATCACTTCTTCATGGAAGGGAAGGATAATCACTTTGCTGGGGAAAAAAATCTGTTTAGTCTTTATTATAACATTAAGCAAATTAAACATCAGCATAATCCAGGTGATACTAGAAAAGGGTCATCAAAGAAATTAACTTTGTTGTTCATTAATTTACACGGATTAGCAGAGGGCAGGGAGACAGCAAATGTGCTCTCGTTTTTTATGATATAATTTCAAACTGTACACCATTTGTGGCAGGAGGGTGACTTTGGGGTTAATCAGACTGATTTGTCCTTTTAATTGCTTTCTATTCAAAGAAAATTCATTAGATAATGTTCTCTTCAAAATTCATGAATCAATTTAACTGAAGAAACCACATTAACAGCTCCGGGTTCATTAGCACACGCGGTTGTGTTCCTGGCTGATTGCTGAGAGGGTTTCCTTAGGCAAACAGGATCTGTTTACGGAGACTTCTTCAGAAAAGGGTTTGAAATCACACTGTTAATCATTACGATTGTTGCTGCGGTTGTTACGCCCAACTTCGGGGAAAAAAGAACAAACAAGCAGGGAGGCTGGTGATAACTTGGGAGATGTCAGAGAGGGCTGCTCGGGAGGTAAACAGTACAACGCAGCGCATCCGCGCTACAGAGGCCCATTTCCAGCCTTCCTCGGAGGGCGCGGACTTGTTGGTTTTGCATTTGGAGCCAGGGAGAGATGCTGCCTAGGTTTTCTGGAAGAGTCTGAAGCTTTGCTAACTCTGAGGAATAGAATAAAGGCCTGTGTGCAAAGTGAGCAATGGCTCGTCCCATCACCAAGCACGGGCCCAGAGGGCCGCACCGACAAATCCACCCGGAACGGAGTCCCCTTCTTTCTGAGTGGAAAAGCGTCGCGTGTAAAACAATTACACCCTGTTGGGGAGCAGAGAGTTCCCCCAACGCCTTCAGCGTCATGGTCAACTTTTCATGGGACCCCACTTCCCACCTGGGACATAGCTGGCGATACCTTAGGAGACAGAGCTCGGATAACGCAGGATTTAGTCATCCAGTCTGCCATGCTGTTTTTTTGAATAATTATCACTAATTTATTCAGTATAGTAGTTCAAACCCTGACATTTTCTTTCCTTCTTTCTTTTTGTATTGTACTTTAGATGAAGGTTTACAGAACAAATAGTTTCTCATTAAACAGTACACATGTTGTTTTCTGACAATGGTTAACAAAACCAGGACATGTCGACACTGTCCCTTCTCGACCTTGGGTTCCCTATTACCAGCTTTCCTGTCCCCTCCTGCCTTCTAGTCTTTGTCCCTGGACTGTTGTGCCCCATTAGTCTCGTTTTGTTTTATGGGGCTGTCTAATCTTTGGCTGAAGGGTGAATCTTGGAAGTGACTTTATTACTGAGCTGAAAGGGTGTCCGGGGCCATACTCTCGGGGTTTCTCCAGTCTCTGTCAGGCCAGTGAGTCTGGTCTTTTTTTGTGAGTTAGAATTTTGTTCTCCATTTTTCTCTGGCTCTGTCCGGGACGCTCTGTTGTGATCCCTGTCAGAGCGGTCGGTGGTGGCAGCCGGGCACCACCTGGCTGTGCTGGACTCCCAACCCACTGCTGTCAAGTCGACTCCAAGGCACAGCTACCTTACGATTCTGTACGTGCATCTTAACCCCACCTCGCCCTGTCGGGAGCAGCGGCAGCACTAGTTCAGCCAGTTCTCGAGCTGGGGCCCAGACTGCCATCAAACCATCTCTAGACGCGGCACCTTCCATCCTGACCTGTTCACAGGTAGAGGCTCCACTTACGAGGTGGGGCCGACGTTTCAAGTTGTTATACAGCTTCCTAAAACGCAGTGACTCTGCTCATGAAAATGAATATGCATCTCCGTGGAAGCATGTCTTCTTGAGGTGGGGCGGGGGGACTGCGACACTCCTCGGTGGGTGGGCAGCTACAGGAAGCCAGCGTGAAAACGCCTTCCTTCCCTCCCCACTAGAGAGCAGGCACGGGGCGCGGGGCTGCGGGGCAGTCTCTGCACACCATGTCCCACAATTGTGTGTGTCTTTCCTTTCACCCACTGCCCGCTTCTCGTTTGCTTTTTACAATTGTCCTTTTCTCCCATCTGCTGACGAGAGCTCAGTTTGAGCCAGCCCTGCCCAAAGGACCAGAGCACCTAGACTCTATTCTTCCGATTCTGGCCTATAGGAGCCCAGGGGACTTTGTTTAGGGTGGTGAATCTACTCTGTGCGATATTGTAATGGTGGGTCCATGACATGATGCATTTGTCAAAACCCAGAGAACTTTACAGCACAAACAGTGAACCTTACAGTATGCAAATTAAAAAAAAAAATCTAGGCAGTTGGGGGATCCTAGGAAGGAATGTAGAGAATTCCGTGACAGGAGAATCTGACCGTATTACAAATACAGGAAACATCCTCAGTGAAGGGTGGGGAGGAAAAGCTGACCTGGATAATTGTGGACATGAGTGATGTCTGTAACCCTAGAGGCAAAAGGAACTGCACACCAGCACTGTTCTCTAGCTGATACAGTTGTTTCCCAGGGAGGCACGAGTTAACACTTCTGACGCTGCTATCCATGCATGCTGTAACTGAACAATTAAGTAAGTGGACTGGATTGTGGGAACCAGGCTTCTCCCTGTGGGAGAGGGAGTTTACAGATAAGCAAGGGGAGGAGGCTAGAATGATCCATTTGGTAATGGATTACAGTTGGAGACTTTTGCAGTTCATCAATACGAACTCATATTTAGCTTAAAAGAGATATAGATGGTTACATACAGAAATATTTACGGATATATGTAGTGGCACAGTAGTTAAAGTGCTCAGCTGCCAACCAAAAGGTTAGTGGTCCAAACCCACCAGCCACTCCAGGAAAGAAAGATGTGGCAATCTGCTTCCATAAAGATTACAGTCTTGGAAACCCTATGGGTCAGTTCTACTGTGTCCTATAGGGTTGCTATGACTCGGAATCAACTCAACAGCAGTGGATTTTGGGTATATACACACATATGTTTCTTTACTCTCTCAGCTGAGAGGACCTAGAATCAACAATACCCCATGTCTTAGTTATCTAGTGTGCTATAACAGAAATAGCACAAGTGGATGGCCTTAACAAACAGAAATTTATTTTCTAGGAGGTTAACAGTCTGAATTCAGGGCACTGGCTCTGGGGGAAGGCTTTCTCTCTTTGTCAGCAGGAGGAAGGTCCTTGTCTCTTCAGCTTCTGCTTCCTGG